TATGTATGTATTTTCAAATATATAAAAATCATTTAAGTGTAACCGCAATAACTGCACCAAGTATTATTTTTACTTCAGGTTTTTTAACTGAAATACGTCAATCCCTACTATTAGTTCCCGCTTTCCAATCTAATTGGTTAATGATGCACGTAAGTATGATGGTTTCTCTTGGCTATATGGGTCATATGAATAATAAGGGATTAATAACTCTGTGCCAGCAATTGCGGTAATACATAGGATGCAAGCGTTATCTAGAATGATTGGGCGTAAAGTATATGTAGGTGGCTTTTTAAGTCTGTCGTCAAATCCCAAGGCTCAATCCTGGACAAGCGTTGGAAACTACCAAGCTGGAGTATGATAGAGATAGAGGGAATTTCTGGTGGAGTAGTGAAATGCGTAAAGATAGGAAAGAACACCAACGACGAAAGCACTTTACCGGGGATCTAATTGCACTTCATGCTCTGCGTTCTTTACGTCTTTTGGTCTGCTTAACCAGCCCATCTTTCTCCAGAGAAGAAATCCACTCGCTCGAAATTTGTCCCTTCAGTTATGTAACAAGGCGTCCACACGATTATGAGTCTGCTCCCGTTGAGGCTCTTCAATGACACTAACCTACGGTTTTTTTCCCACTAGCCATGGCTTGGCCAAACCTTTGGCTCTGATACCACTTGTTCAGGACAAAGGGTCGTGATCCTGAGAGGGTGAGCTAACTCCAAAAACCCGTCCTCAGTTCGGATTGTAGGATGCAACTCGCCTGCATGAAGCTGGAATTGCTAGTAATCGTCGATCAGCCATACGACAGTGAATTCGTTCCTGGGCCTTGTACACACCGATCATCAAACTATGGGAGTTGGCCATGCCCGAAGTTGTTACCTTAACTGCAAGGAGGGGATGTCGAAGTCAAGGCTAGTGACTAAAGTGAAGATGTGTAACAAGGTAGCCGTACTGGAAGATGCGGTTGGATCACCTCCTATTTTGGTTTGACATGCTTCACACTCAAGTTTCTCGTGTTTTCTTTTTCAATCAAGAAAAATATTATTATGTTTGATAACTTTTTTTTAATTGGAAACAAAAACATAAACATGTACTCTTTTTTTTTCCTCTAAAATCTTAAATTAAAAACATAAGTTTTATATGAAAATTTATTTTTCAAATGAAATATTCAAATTTTTTTATGTTATATTGATTTTTTAATGTTTATTATGCATTTTATACGTAAAAAATGATAAAATAATACTTTTATTTATGTTTTGAAAAAAATTTGAAAACAATAAAAATAAAATAAAATAAACATTAATTTTGTTGTTTCCAGAATTACGTTTTTTAAAACTGGAACATAGGAACAATTATGACACATTTATCTCAAAATTCAAAATGAAAAATAAAAAAGAAAAGGGAAATTGTGGGAATACATACCAAATGGGCCCTAAAATTTTGAAAATCTAAAATTTTGAAAATTGTATCCAACATATACATGAACGTTAAAAAGTATTTTAATAGATAATTTTTTATAATGCCCATCGAATATGAAAATGAGTATGAGGTATAGGTATCAAACACAATTTTCCCACATAGATGAGTTTTATTTTTAGATTTACGAGAAAGAGATGAAAACAAAGTTGCTCACCTACATGCAAAAGATTCCTATAATGTATCCATACATTTTTAAAACTTATCTAATAGATTATGATAGAGAGTGTGGAGTGAAAATACCGATACAGCAAAGAACGATTGCATGAATCAAAATTCACAACGAGAAAGACATACGATCGAGATGAATTTGTCAAATGTTCGACAAACCACTACATTAACGGCACATAAAACCATGTTCATCAACTAAATTTGTTCATTATTGATTTGAAATTCGAAAAATGATTTTAAATTATTTATTTTGTCCGCAATGAGAATGATTTGAAATGAATATAATTAATTTTTTATTGGGATGTTTGTTGGAAAGAAAAATAAATAAAAGTTTAATGATTTAGACTTTGAACTTAAATTTATTAATTAAAAATTAAAATATGAAAAGTAAAATAAGTAATTGATTGTACTAAAAAAAATAAGTAATTTATTTGAAAAATAAAGGGCCAATATTGGTATATTATACACAAATAGTTAAATCAATTTTTAAGAAATTTAAAAAATAAATATTAAAATACTTTTTTGGTCATTTACTTTTAATTTGGGTTCATTTTAGTCCTTTTACTTTCACACTGTTAATTTTGGTCCCCGAACTTTTAAAAAGAGTTCATTTTGGTCTTTGCCCTTAACCCACCGTTAAATAGATAACAAATTGATGACTTTACAATTTGTCTGAGATATGAGAATTTGTGGGAGAGAAGAAAGAGCCCAGCAGAAGAAAATGGGAGAAAGATTTGAAAAAGAAGAACCAAAGGATTTTTGTGCTCCCCACATCTCTCTTCTTTTTGTGGCAGTTTAATGAGAGAAGGAAAAAAAACAGCGGGATTGCAAAGAAAGGGATTGAGTTGAATTTGTATTCTATCCGTTATCTATTTAACAACGAGAGACTTAATGCTAAGGGTCAAAATGAACACTTTTTAAAAGGTTCAGAGATCAAAATGAAAATTTTCAAAACAAAATTTAAAAGTAAAGAGACTAAAAGAGTATTTAAAAAAAAAAGATTTTAGCGATAGTGTAGGTTTGAATTCATACATCCTTGTTTAAAAATTTTGAATATCAAATATTATAATATTATTTTCATCTTTACGTCTGGCTTTGACTTATCTTAATATGTTATAATATTATTTTCATATGTACTTTAGCTTTGACTTATCTTAATCTATGTACTTTTAAAATGTTTATGTTTGTCATCTTTACAAAATTTTCACACAAATTTTATTAAGGGTGTGCACAAGAGGTTGGAAAATCGATCTGACCGATTAAAACTGACTAAATCGATGTCGGTCGGTCGATTTTAGCAATTAGTTGATCAGTTGGTCGATCAGGGGAGCATATATTCAGTTGATCCGCATTGGTTTGGGTCTTAAAATTGACCCGACCGACCAATATACATCTCTAAATTTTATACCTAATGAAAATTCTTACATAAAAATTTATGGTTATATTTTAAGAAATTTGGTGAGTGAAGTATCGTACTAAAATCATAATTAAAATAAACAAAACGGTCACTTTTTAAAACTACTGAACAAACATTTTGAGAAAATACGTGGACTAAAATAAACAAAAATTGATAATACATGGATCAAAATGAACCAAACTCAAAATACGAAAAAAAAGTATTTAAACCTAAATAAAATTATGATTGATATTGTAGCAAAATATTTAAAACTTTAAAATAGAATCATGAAATTATTTGAACTTCTTTTCAAAGAGAAATTTATTTGAACTATTGTAATTTATTTTTAATAATTATTAATATTATCAATATTTTGTCGAAATTTAAAGTTTTTGCATTTTTTTACGTTTTCTACATTTACTTCATATTCAAAAATATTTTGAACTACAAAATTCTTTCATATTTTATGGAAATGTATTTTTTGGAAAACTTCATACCTATTTAGGTTACTCTATTATTCATGACATTTATGCAATATTTTCTTTTCTTTCTTCTTTTAATATTCTCCAATCTTTTTTTAGTTTTACTTTTAATTTGTAAAGAGAATTTGAAGTTGAATAATTAAGAATGAGGATGCAAGGTTATACTATTTACTTTTATCTCCATCTTAAATTACTATTTTTGTTCACACTCCCAAATGTTATACTAAAAAAAATTACTATTTTGTCACATAAATATATAATTAAAACAAAATTAGATCTATCAATCAATTAAAAATTATTAAATATGAAACATGATTTTATTCTTTATTTTCAAATAATAAATGTAAGAATTGTTTGAAGGTTAGAATAGTCACCTTCCTAGATGGTCATTGTCTAATTCAAAAAANACCAAAATAAGATATGGACGAGAAATAAGTTATAATTTGTTATTATGCCCACCATAAATTACTATTTTGGTTGTTCTATGAATAGATTTATTATTGAAAAATTTCGATCCATTCAAATAAAACTATACCTATCAATCATAGTCAATAAGAAAATATTAAATATGAAGCATCATTTTCTCAAATTTTTAAATAATAAATAGAAGAATAGTTTGATTTTTGAAAAATAGTCCAAAATGAGCAAAAATTGACCCATTTATGTTCCTCAAGATTTATCTTCAATATATAATTATTCTTCCGTACTTGGGGTATTTAAAAAAATCAATATATTTTTTAATCTTTGAATAAAATTGTTTGTCTATGTTTTTTTTTATTTAATTAATTTATTCTCCATATGGTGGATTAAGACCAATGTACATGATGACATAAAATAAAATAAAAAAATGGTGGGCAGCACTTGTATATACAAATGTGTGTTATGTATTTCTTTTAGTTAAGTTAAGATATACTATTACTGTGGTCTATAAAAAACGCTATTCTTTCATTTCAGTTTTATCTCTTTTGTTACTATGAACTCAAAAAGCATTCATTATGAACTTCCTTTTTAAAACAACTTCAATTGTGAACATAAAATAACTTAACTATTTAAATGATATATTCTTGACTAGAAAATGTAAGATGTTCAAACTTCCATTCCAACGTATTTTGTTTAATCAATTTTTCTAATAATAATAAAAGAAATAGACCACTTGAATTGTTTGAATGTTATAATCCAACGTAAATAAGGTAATCAAGTAGTTATTGTTAGTGAACTTTCCATTGAATATGACTTTAGGAGCTATTAGGAATATTTTACCAAAACCAAGATTAGACTTGAAAAGAAAAATTAAAACCAACATTCAAATCAATTCTCTGACTATAAAAAACTTTCAAACCTACCAAAGTTAAATCCCATTTAAACTATGCTATTGTTCATCTTAGAAACTTTACGAAACTCAATTGATACCGATTAATTCAACAAATTTGATTCAATTTTTTCTGTTTCAACTCGCACCCCTAATAGATATCGATCCAAAGTTAGTTTCGCCTCGTAGGACCTCGTTTCATAGCTTTGATATTAGAACACATACTTAAAAGTTCTTATACTGTAATTACAGATTTCCAACCTTTTATGTTCAATAAACTTGTGAATGAGCTTGATGTAACTATTTAGCCAAAAGACAGTCCTAAGCCAAACCAACTATCAAGATAATTAGAAGAGGTCTTAAAATATGAGACTTTACATCTTAGTTCCTTCCCCCCTTTGCAGCCATTTATACATCCATCTGGGGATGGAAATTTCTGTTGTATTTTACAGGTAGGTACTCAGTTAGGAACGGTGACGGCTTAAACTTGAATCGCAATGGCGGTTGAGAATTTGCGATGCCCCTGTCGAACTTGATCCCGAGTCATCAGTAATAAGACAGTTAGCACCAGCAATGGTGTCAAAACTTGCTGGCACTTTCCAACCCACCAAAAGGAGGTCTGCTGCAATGGAGATTTTGCCTCAGCTTCTTTGAATTGCAGCTGATGGACTTTTGTGATTCATCGAGCCTTTGATGGGCTATGGTTTTTTGAAAAACTTGGCTACTTCCTTGTATAGATTTTCTTCCTCGAAGGGTTTCGAGACGTAGCCATCCATCCCGCATTTCAGGCACTCATCATACGTAGCATGAATCACGTCTGCAGTCATTGCTAATATCGGTACATGCCACTTGCCTTCTGCTGCAGATCCTCCCACTTCATTTGCCTTGCTCTCCATCATCCTGATAAGACGAGTCGCCTCAAACCTGCATTTTCCATAAAAACTACACTGAAAACTTACTCTACAGCTTCTATTCAAATAAGAAAAGATAAATCAAGACGTTAAAGGCAACGGGTTGTTCAGGAGCTGTTTTGAGAAACACTTTTCTGATTCAAATCAGAAAAGGGTTCAGCATTCCATAATAACCCTTGTGATTTGAGTCCAAGAGTCTCAAACTAACTTCGGGTTTGAGATGAAGGTTTCATACTTTTAGCCAAAACCCAAAGGATAAATGAAGAACATTACCATTATAATTAAAGTCCTGCACGGTTTAGATAGAAGAAATGAAGAAAATTTGTTAGAACATACCCATCCATTTCTGGCATTTGAATATCCATGAAGCAAGCATCGAAATTGTGTGGTAGCTGAAGTAACTTCAGAGCAGCTTTCCCACTATCTGCACACTCAACATCTGCACCGAATTTCTTCAGAGCGCCTGCAGCGACCCGACGGTTTACTCGGTTATCATCAACAATTAAGATTCTCTTGTCACAGAGAAGGCTCTGGAGGAAAGAAGAACCATTTGGCAGGCACCTTTCCCGTCTCTGATTCTTAACCCCAAGTGCTTGTTGAAGACAGGCAGCCACCATACTTGCCCTTAACGGTTTCATGATCACGGTGTCTGAAAAACCTGCTGCCCTTGCCTTGTCTAATTCTGTAGTGGTAATGTTCGTAGCGAGAAGGATTAGTTTCGGTAACTTCAACGAACTCCCGTTCTGTTTCCAGTTCAGTTGATGAATGATTCCACATTCCTCATCAGAAGTTAATGTATCTTTTTCCACTAAGATCATATCTGGAAGGATTGTGTTTCTGAAAAATTCAACAAAATACTTCCTCTCAGCAAGTTGCAACATAAACCATCTGCAGAAAGGCCCACTAAACAAGCAGACCAAAATATCTTGGTGAATCTAAGAAAAAAGAACACTGACCAGTGACCATCTGCACTTTGAAATGTTTCCAAATGTTTGAGGTCTCCTTTGATAAAGATTTTGTTATTGGTTTAAGTTTTCTTTATTTATTTTTTCACTGTTTGAAAACGCTATTGAAAACTTAGTCCTTCAACCTTGCATTAAGACCATATTAGTTCACGATTAATAGAAACAAATCCAGATTTTTTCAAAAGATTAATGAAAAATCAATGGTGAGGACTAAAACAGAGCCACTGTAAGTTTAGAGACTAAAACAAAATAAGTAGGAAAGTGAGGGGCCAAAATAGGATTTAACCTAAAAAGTGATTCCACCTGTTTCAATATTTTCAACTAATGTTTAAAACAGAAAAAGAATAAGAGAAAAGGCATTACCCTGGAATTGTGGAACCATTCTCTCTGCAAAAGGAAGCTGCCAAGTTGATGCTATTGGTGACTTCAACTATGATGCCAAGTCTCTTCAAATGGTATCTTGTTACAGAAGCTCTAACTGGTTTCCTGTCAACTACTATGGCTTTCATTCCCCTAAAACTTGGGGGAATTTCTTCAGAGTTGGGTTTTTTCATGTCATTGATTGAGTTTATCTTGCATTTCCCTAAAACAGCAGTGAACGAAAACGTGCTTCCAATCTGAGGCCGGGTTATGAAGTTGATCTGACCACCCATCAGCTCAACTAAACATTTGCTGATACTCAAGCCGATACCTGTTCCTCCATAGTTTCGGGAGGTCGAGCTATCTGCTTGCATGAAGGGCATGAAAACTCGATCTTGGGCTTGTAAAAGGATCCCAATTCCAGTATCCTCCACGCTTACCATCAAAGTAACATGACCACAACACTCGTCGGCTACTTCTGTGTTGTTTGAAGCAGTATTCGACTGGAAGTTATCATCTGCAATTAGATGTTTAAAGTTATCCCAACTGTTCTGATCATCAGCCGCCTCACATCCACTTAAAGTTTTAAATTCACGACCACCAGATATGAACAAGTCACTGTCTGATGTACCATTGACATATTTTGAGTCAATGCAGCCTTTTGAGTGCTCAGCTAGCTGTACTTTAACAAATATATGTCCCCTTTCGGTAAACTGGAAAAACAGAAAAAGCTCTTTTTAATTTTTATGGAGTCTCCAACCATTTAGATAATGATACACATCAAGGAAGTACTGCACCGGTCCCAAAAGAAAACTCGAACAATCCAAACTTGCAAGTAAAGGATGCGGTAAAAGATTGAATAAATGTTCATATTGGATTTGAATTCAGAATATATTCAGGACTGTCCACTCACCTTAACAGAGTTACCAACAAGATTTGTTATAATTTGTCTGAATCTTCCTGGATCTCCAATCACAACTTCTGGTACTTTGTCAGAAACAAAGACTGCCAGCTTCATTTTCGAATAGATGTTCAATAGTGGTTGAAATGACCATGGAAAAGAGCAAGGAAGTTATCAGGTATCATGATATGTAACAAACAGCCAGCAAACGTGTTAATTTAAAAAAGGAATAATATCTATATGACCTACCTCCAGACCCTTTTGTCTGGACTTCTCGGAAAATAGAGATAGGACGTCGTCGAGTATTGATCGAATGTCGAACAGAACTGCTTCCAGTTCTAACTTTCCAGCTTCAATTTTTGCTCGGTCAAGAACCTCATTAATTAATTGGATCAGTGCCTTTCCACAAGCCTGAGCAGTCTGAGCATAATCCTTCTGAGTTGAACTTAAATCTGTATCCAGAAGCAGAGCAAGCATTCCTGAAATGATGCACACAATGGTATAGCAACCTGAGTATCCTTTGTATATAAAAAAACCAGTCAATTCGGAAAAGGTGAAGCTTGACAGGAAATACATACCGAGGATGCCATTCATTGGTGTCCTAATTTCATGGGAAACAGTTGCAAGAAACTGAAACCAAAACGAAAGAGAGATTTAAATCGAGAGATGCATGAAGAAAATTCAATGCAGAGTACTAACATTAACAAGGGTCTTATATTCTTTTTTATGGATAACAACATGTCCTCCCACAAACAAGCAACTTGATTAATCCCACGTAACACTGGCATTGAAAAACTGTTTCCCAGAGGATAGTTATGATAAAACTAAACTATTGATTATAACATAGAGGTACATATCCAAGGGAGATTCGAGAGCTATTGTCCTCTCCACATTTCCAAGACTCGAATCAAAAACCAAAAGATGTCTCTCCTCACTCACTTCTAAGGCTATAGACTCTTACTCACATCTTATCCATGCTTACATCATACCTAATAGCTAATGGGTCCCACACACATGCCACATCAGCCAACATGCTCACACACTCGAACCAACCATTCTTATCTTCTTGGTGATCATCCTACTTTGAATCCATGATCTTAAAGACATTTGAATTTACAACTTATCCTTTTGACTAATAAGTCAAAAGGATAAGTTGTAAATTCAAATGCATGTGGCAATGTGGTAAAGAAGTAGAAGTCATAATCAAGATATTTCAATATTTAAGTTTCGATATTATGTAGACGTTGTAAAGATATAGTTGGCTTATTCTATTGATTTATCCTCCTATTAGGCTCTGTACTAGACACTGTAACAAGGCCATTATCTACTATAACATACTTGAACTTGAACAAAAAGAATCTGATTTATTTAGAACTTTCATCCAACCATCCTTTTCTCTCACCCTAATTCCATCTATTTCCTTCTCTCTTTTTAAGCATTTAAGTTTCAAGTAACTATATGACCTGATCGACAGACCTGGGATTTTGCTACATCAGCAGCTTCCGCTCGAACTTTCAGAACTTGCATCTTATGGAAATCATCTTCAACCTTCACAATGTGAGTGGCTGCACCGTACAAAATGTAGCCAACTAATAACCCAATCACGAAGAATAAGAATGCAGTAGTTAGAGCAGTCCAGGATGTGGGAGCCTTCTGCTGATATCTGCTCCATATCCACATGAGGAAAGCCATAAGTCAAAGAGACAAACAATCAACATCAGAATAGTGACTGTAACTAACATGACAGAATGCTTTACCTACAAACCATCAGATGCTTCCTGAATGGATCTCCAAAATCAAGGTTACTCTCATGCAAAAGAGACAGGTCACCATCGTGATATTGATGGCCATACATGACAAGGGGATCAGAAGAGTTTGTGATATCATATACATTCACCAAAATGGCTTGATTCCCAGCAAGCTGGCCTAGTAAGTTCTCCACGAGGGACTCGACGTCAAACGCCCCACCAACATAGCTGCTTTTAGATAAGAAACGATTTAACATATCTAGCATATAGAGTTTCACCTCTCACATAATGTTAAAGATAAAGATATTTGAAAATTAAGTTATGTTTTGATTAGAATTCGACTTCCAAGCCAAACAAGCCAGAGGCAGTATAGAGCCAATAGAAAACTAGCCTTTACCGTATTCAAAAGATCAAAATAAGAAAATGTGCATAATACCCCTTGAGAATTAACCAAATAAAATAATGAATACAAAGTTATATAGTCATAGTGAAGGACATCCACACAAGGAAAAGAAAAAGGAACCCATATTGAGAACCACTGATAATATTTGGCAAGTAATGATATGTTTTCTATACTTAATAATGAGAAAATAAATCACATATGAATTCACATTCCTAATAAAACTACATATCCAGACTGACCCTGCTGTTGCTTGTATACGTTCTTCTTCGGTTGGTTTTGATGACAATTTGGATTTGTAAACAGGGAACGTCAAAACAACTCCAAGATGATGAGAACCTAGCAGCCTGAAGGGGCTCGTTAAAACAGCCTTCCCTGTTGCTCTAGCCCTCAAAATATTTTCACGGTCCTCCTGCATCACATTGGGCAGAAATCTATCCAGATGAGAGAGGAAAAACAATACAGACCAACATACCACTTTTATCCAACATAGAAGCTAAAGTATCAAGCTCATGTAGCTCTACCTCTCCTGACATCATATCCAGTGATTCGATGTAAGAGACTGTTTCTTGAGAAAATATCACTGGTGCATATTCATCACGAATCGGCGAAGGTTCTCTTTTCATTGTTTTTATCATCCACCCATGTTGCTTTTCAAATATCTCCCTCTCTGAATGAACCACTCTTTGAGCATATGCCACCCCACTGAGAAGAGGCCGTTCGAAAGCAGTTCTGGCTGTGTATTCGGCAAAAGTTTCCTACATTGTTGTGTTTTAGGCTCATCAAACAACCGTACCATACCAAAGGGAAAAACAGTAAAATGCCAGTTCCTTCAAGAAAATGCATAGAAAAGAACTATTACATCTTGGCAGAGTTCAGATTTCCAAAAATATAAGAAGAAACCAATGTACAAAGCTCACAAACCTGATCAATTGCAGAAGGGTTCTTGAAGTAATGAAAGGTGGAAACAAGGACAGCCAAGGCATGAACATGGTTAACACTAACACTGAATTGATCCTGCAACATCCTTGCCCTCTGCTCACACATGCTCTCCAACACTTCGTTCCTTCTCACTTTATTATCAGCATCCATTCCATTATAGATTATCATACTGATAAACGCCATCCCCATAATCCAGAGCAGAAGATACTTTCGAAGCCAAGCCCTGTTAGCTTGAACAAATGTGTAGCCCTTCTTTGTTGTTCCCATTTGCTCATTCCACTTCATGGCCACAGAATTGTGACTTTGCTGCATTTTCATACCCATCTTCCAGAAACCTCTGCTTCGCCTTCCTCTTTCACTTCTTGTTCTACTTCATTCCCTTACCAAAACTAGACCAACCCCGACGACCGAGCAGCATTCTTCAGCTCCCTTTATTTTCTGAAAATTTCTATGAAAAGCCTTCTGCAATTAAACAGAAAAGGAAAAAGTTGACAAGAGGATGATTGTCACAACAGCATTTGACCTGTTGGGTTTATTAAAGCTTAGAAAGCACAACCCAAAAGAAAACCCATTTTTCCCTTTTGCCGCTCGACAAAACCCATTTCTATAGTAGAGAGAAAAGACGATGGGCGGATTGACTCAGTATCAATAAAGAGGGCCTCTCAATTCTCAAAGACAAGCCTGACTCTTAAAAGATGGGATTTTCTTTAAAATAACAACCGAGGGAGAGAGAAAAGCCCACATTCCAAAGAATTCCCTTCGTCATATACTTTCCGGTCAATGAGGTCCTTGCGTAACAAAAAAGGAAACTGGGAAAAACTAAAAAATCAGAGGGGAAAGCAAATCATGTCCCTCTCTACTCCTCTCCTCCAGGCGTGAAGTTCAGTTAACATGTTTCACTTCCATTAAATAATAATCAAACCTACAGCTGAACCTGAACCCTCAGCTCCCAAGAAAAAACCTCACACGCGCAGCGAAGAACTCAAGAAGGAAAGAAAACACACAGATACAGACAGACAAAAAAAAAAAAAACAAAGAAAAAGAAAAGGGAAAGTGGATCATCAAAAGAAACAATGCTTTTGCAATTTTGCTCACCTGGGTATAAAAAAGAGGCAATGTTTGCAAATGATTTCCAGAGATGGAGGAGGAAGACGATGAAGAAGGCTCCTCCACAGTCGATCCAGAGTGGCTTTTACAGCAGAATTTCACATGGGTTTTCTTCTATTTCTTCTTCCCCCTTTTGCTTGGTGGTTGGAGGAGAGCAAATTGGTATCAAATTTTTAAAGATTTTGAAGGATTTTCTGGGATACTCCCCTGACTTTCCTGTCTCCCTATTCGCTCGCCTTCCCCTATACCCTTTTACTATTGCACACTCCCACTATGTCGTCTTCTTTCTCTCTCTCTGTGACTCTATTCCTCTCTGGCTTTGTCTCCCTTTTCATATTATATTATTCTCTTCCTCACCAAACTGTCGCACCTCTCTGTTTCTCTCTCCTCTGCTGGGGAGCTCGCTTTTTATACTGAGTACAAGTATGGCCTCACAGAACCTCCATTAAAAATAATGGAAATCAAATTACCTTCAACCTGAGCGGACCCAGAATCAGAAATCCCAAATTTCTTTGTTTTCTAAGCTGAAACCATAGTGAAAGTGAACTTGGCTAAAATCATCCCCATTTTCCATCTGGGTATTTTTTTTCTTTCTTTAGTTCTATTTTTTTCTTTTTGGTTTTGTTTTTTGTTTGTTTTTTCTTTCTTCTTCTTCTTCTACTCTTTGCTGTGTGAGAGAGAATCGAATTGGTGGAAAGGAAGGGGAAGACGAAAATCTCCATCGCAAATCTGTGTGATAGTGACATGGCGACAATGCTCGGATCTCATTCCCTGTCAATTTACCTCTAACCCCTTCTCTTTTCCATCAAATTTCCAAATCCACCCTCCTTTTCTTTCATTAATCAAACTTAAAACTACAAATTTAATCTTAGATCTCTTTATTGTTTGTTTAGCTTTTAAATGTGAAAAGTTTCTATTAAATTTATGACTTTATGACTTTTTTATCACTTTCTTTCAACGGGTAATGAGTTTTATGATTTGAAGTTTATTCATGTTTAGAAGACATATACTAGTAATAATGTGGTATGATGTAACATCGAAGGATAAATAGAAATGACTCAATAAAATTAAAATGTATATAAACGAAAGAAAATGACAGGGTAAAATAATTAATTATTAGTTTATCAAGTACTTCCAAGATTATAACTCAGCTACGTATTTCTTAAAATGTATAAATTCTAAACTCTTCACTTATCTTGTTGAACTTGAAAAAGAAATTTCCTAAAAAAGGAAAAAAAAAAGAACTTGAAAAAAAAAAGGCAATGTCAATATTTAAATGATAATATTGAATTTAAACGTAATTAATTGAAACTTTTATAGGTTGAAAGACTAAAGAAGCACAATTATCAAAACTTTAGAGGTGTAATTTAACGCTTTAATAATTATCTTTTTGACTTATAGATATAAGAAAGCTCGAACCTGGATCTTAGGTGTCAACGTCCAAACCTGTTGCCACTGTGCCAAAACTCGAAGGTGTAAATGTTTTTCATTTTTTGTTGGGGTTTTGCAACGGAATTGGATGGAGATGGTGATTTATGGTGGCTACTTAGGAGATTAAAGTCTTAATTTTGTGAGACTAAGGTCGGATTAAATTTGGTTTCAATCAAAATTTTCACGTTTACTAAAATATAGGAATTGAAAAATTGGTGAGATACACGTCAAACTATATCATCACTCTAAAAATAGGTAATTTTATTCTCACCTAAACCTTATTCACATTTTTTGTTACATGGGTCTTACATTACAGTTTTGTCCTTTTCTCTCATTTATTAATGAAATATATAACTTTTTAATAAATTATTTTACCATTTTTTTTTAGTGTTGGGCTGGAGGATTGAACTCTCCAACCTTGATATATGCCAATTACTGTTAGACCTATACTCGTTTTTTATTTCTAATATTAATAATTTTTCTTTTAACATAAAAATACACTACTTTTATTAAATGATATGATTTTATTATAACATAGTACACCTTTTAATTTAATCTATCAATTATTTAATTTTACATTGTTCTTTAAATAAAATTGTTAAAATTGATTTCATTGATATTAAATGTTATAATAATAAATTTTACTAACATTTTATATTAACATGGTGGTTGAATAAAAATTATATTAATATTTTGTAGTTAGTTTAATGTTATTTTAATTATTTATGATTTGTTAATACAAAAGGGTTATATATAAAAACAAAAATATTTATCAATAAAATAAATTAAAATTTATTAATGTTTTAATTAAAAATAATATTAGCACACTTTTTCTAATCAATTATAAATAAGGAAAGGATATTCTAATTACTGTGATTCTATTTCCATTCCACACCATTTTAATAGATAACATCAATAAATTTTTAATTTTGATTTTAGAAAATTTCTGGTAAACAATATCAAATAAATAACTTTCTCATATCAACTAATTTTCATTTCAGTTATTTACTATTTCGATTTTTTATAAGTAAACAAATTTTCAATATTATAAAGTTAGACAATTGTCGTAGTATATTAATCAAAGTATATGATATGTAACACTCATTAATAAGAAAATAAAATAATAATAATAATGAAATTGGATTATTTTTTCTCTTTTTGAGTTCGTTAAGATTACATTTCCCTTTTGAATGGTGAGTTTCACTAAGAACAGACAGGCTGGTCTTTTTCACATCTTCTCCTCGGGACCCACATTTTGATTTTCCAAATCAACGCCGTCCAAAACAATCAACAGGCCACGTGTACGAACGTGGATTATTCAATCAATCAAGCTTAGAGTTGGCCACATTTTTTAAAAAATTTTATTGTTCATTAAAGTTGTGGAAAAGTCAAGAATTGATTTTTTTTTTTTAGTGGGAAAGAAATCTTCCTTTTCGTGTGATATAAAAAAATAAAATCAGGGAAGATCTTGACCAATTTCTCAAAAATTCTCTTGATCTGGATGATTTTAATCATATAATAAATATTGTCACTATCCTTTTGTATTTATTTTTTTAAAATTCTAAATTGAGATGACTTTAATCGAATCCCTTTGAACTTTGATGTCAATTATAATTTAATTATTTGAACTCTAAAGGAACCTAATGCTATACAAGTTTGATGGACAACCAACATTAAAAGATAGTTTATACCCAATTAAAAAATGATAATTAAGGAAAGAGGTATTTTGAAAATTACTTTTATTTTCGAAGACTATTTTTCTTTTTTAGAATACTTTGAAGACTATTTTAAAAAATGGGATGTGCCTACTAGAATCAATATATTGGGATTGGTGGAGATCGATGTCGGAACGAGCTAGAGACGCGTCAGGACGAAGAGGGATGAAAAGTAAGTGAAGGAGGCAATGTCGTGGCACTGTCGCGATAAGGCATGCAAATGAATTTTTCTGTCTGTAGCGCCATGGTACTGTATCAACTTTGTAAATACTGCAGTTTCGGGTTTTAGGTTACAACAGTAGAAAATATCAGCAATTTTGAGACGTTAGGAGTATTCGTAGTAGAGTTGGGGCAGATCAAGATCGAGGTATTCGAGGTAATTAGATATTGATTGTATTGTGAGTTTTTCATTCCTGTACCTAAGTATAGTGTGTGATAATACATAGAGGATGAATATATGAGGGAGATATTTGAGTCATTGTATCCAATCTCTTATTAGTGGAATCCACGTCTGAGCGGAAAACTAGACGTCGTCCATAATCTATTGTGGTGAACTAGTATAAATTCTCGTGTCATTTATTGCTTTCCCTCTAATCTCTTATTTGTGTCGCTGGATATAATTGTGGTTGGATAAATTGTTTGGAGTGTTTTAATTTCCAAACACAATATACAAAAATATTTTATTGAAAAATATTTAGGTGGTGACGYGTTAGCACCCATTTTCCCACCGACCATCAATAAAAATCTGACGACCTTTTTAATTTTTTGAAAAACATAATAAATATTTCTTTTTCCGTCTTTCTCTCTTGTTTGTCATGATCAGCAAAAGGAAAATACATCAATTAGTATACCAAAAAGAAAAAACACAAATAAATTAGATAAGACATTATTTCTTGAAGGGTCATTTTTACCAAATTTTTTTTAGTACCATAACAGGCAGAGTATGGCAAGTCTTTTCTAAAAGCATCATAAATGGTAGAGAAAGAGTTTGGTCTTATTTGAAAAAAAAAGAAAAAGTATATATCTTAGTGGAAGATTGCATGGGACCATGAAATATTTGGTATTCATTTTCACTAATAAAGATGCACAAAAAAAGGGCCAACCATCCCCAAGAATATTTTTATTGTGCTTGTGCTATATATCCACATACTATTTACTAGCATGCTTTATAATTTAATATATTGGATAAGAGCCTTTTTCCACATAGGTTTCACTTGAAAGTAACTTCAAATAAAACGAGTAAGAAATTTTTGTTTCCATTTTGAATTTTTTTTTAAAGTGGCATTTCATCATTGAGACATTTTTCGAAATGAAAATTAACATTTATATATACTAATAATGAGGAGCAAGAGTGTGTACGAGGCAAACATTTATGTTAAATAAATACTAAATTTAAAAGACTTAATTAAGTGGTTAGAGTTGGGATAAATTTAATACGGTAAAATATATCATTTTTTTAATACAACATCTAATGGTACATTTTGTTACTTTTATATCAATCTGACATCGAAGTGTGTATTCCATCTTAAATCTAATTGGCAAGGAGATGAGTAGTTCTATTATAAACTTTTTTCAGGTTTATTATTTTTCAATGTGGGATCCTTAACCGCTAGCACTAGACCGTACCTAATTTTTTTTTTGTTTTACAGGTTGTTGAAGGAGAAATTTTGGCCAATTGATAAATGCCACATCACAATTTAAAATTATATTTATTACTAATCATAAAATTACGCGTATCCTAAATTAATTTTAAATCGGTGAATCAAATTATGTTACGTGTTACTCTTATAGTCATTCAATGACATTAACCTATAATGAGATTGGGCCAAAGCCAATTAAGCTCATGGTCCAATTTAAGACCTATTAAGACTCTATAAATATAGGATGTCACCAGAGATTAAGAAGAATTGGAGGTTTAGAGCCATTAGAGCGTTTAAAGTTGTTTGTAATTCATTCAGAGTCGAGCGAGGCATTCAAAGCCAACAAGACTTAAAGAATTGAATACTTGAAGACTACGAGACTTCAATAACACAAAACTTTCTCTTCGTCAAGCAATCGACTAAAGAACTTCAACAAGCCGAATACTTCACAAAATTGCAAAGTCTTTATCAAGCTTTAAAGTCAAAAAACTTCAACAAGCCCCATAGCTGAATAACTTCAACAAGTCGAAGACTTCACAAAGCTACAAAGTCTTTATCAAGCTTCATAGCTTAAGAACTTCAACAAACTTAAGAACTCTTCATCGAGCTACAAGTCGAAGAACTCTTCATCAAGCTAGATCTAAAGAACTTCACAAGCTACAAGTCGAAGACTTCAAAGATTTTTCATAAGCTCAAAGTTGAAGATTTTAAAGATTCTTCAACAAACTTAAAGTCGAATACTTCAAAGATCCTTCGATAAGAAGGCATCAACCTCATTTATTCAAGAATAAGCTCTCAAGCTTTTGAATTAAAGTTATATCCGAAAGAAAGCATAAGAGGATTATACATTAGAAATTGTACACTACACAC